GAAACAATCTCAGGTTTTGTCTTTTTTTGCTTTTTGCAATTAATCAAATATTAAAGCCCGTTCTTCCTCATGCCGCTGATGTATCAGTAATAAAATCATGTCGTAATGAGCAAATGTAAAGAAAAGACCACTGCTGAAAGAACGGATCCTACCATATCTGAGCGGAAGCTCTTCGCCGGTCAAGTCAGCTACTCGGCGTTCAAGAAAGGTCACTTTCTGCCGCAGCTCCTCAATTACCGCATCTTTTTGTCTTATTTCACGTTGTAGGCGCCGATTTTGTATTTCCACAGCGCTGAAACTACATTTGAGTAAAAGGCGAGAGAAAGTTCGAATTTACCGCCGGGTATAAGCCTATAACGTCGGACCGAACTTCTGTGCTTCTCAGCAAAACAACTCTTCCAAATCTGAGTTGCCATAATTCTATGCTAGAAGTTTCCACGTGTTTTATCGAATCATTCCACAGTGAGCAATTACTGGATTTTATTTTTATACAGTGAGTTTTTTAGGTCTATCAGATTTTCCACAAATAACTTCAATTTATCAAGTGAAGTTTTTGCTGATGCTTTTTTTTGGCTAATTTTTGACAGCCCGCATCTTCCATCATTTTCTCTTATCTTTTTAACATTCCATTCATTTCTACTTTTTTACGCTTTTTTTTCAGCGCAAAAAATCATTGATATGATAAAATTCGAAACCCAAGTTCCCGATTTTCCCACAAAAAAGGAAATGCGCCGCGGAGAATAGAAAGTTCATCAAAAACACAAGTATATTCAAAAAAGCTGACCTTGATGATGAATGGTTTTCCTTGTCGGCCAGCAATAAAGACATCTTCTCATCAAGCTGAGAATTCTCGAGACATTTTGCCGAGTACAGTGCCGACAGTTGCTCCAGCTCAGCGCTCATTTGCTCCAACATTTTACTGGAATAGACCACCTCAAAAAAGCCTCTCGACGATTGGTGCAGATCATTTGGTGTTGTCAAGGCGCAACCAAACGTCAAAAGCAGTTACAGCACTCCTGCCCACGCCAAATGCGTCCACACGTGCGTGGATCAGCTCAATGTGAGTTTTCTGCCGATAGCTACTCATTAATATTGGATACTCACCGGTAGTAAAATGCATTTATTTTGCTCTGATGCTTTGATCAG